CAAAATTAAATATATATATATATATATATATATATACATATATATTTTCTAAAAAAAATATTTTCTAAAAAAAAAAAAAAAAAAAAAAAAAAAAAAATTTAAATTTACTTTAAAAATTTCTATTTGGTCTTCTTTAAGTTTGTCACCCAGTGACATGTCATGCCGTGACAGAATATCTATTTTATTTTAAATAAATAGTTATATATTATTTGTAACTAAAATAGGGCAATAAATATAAATAGATATTTAAATCTAAACATTTTTAGTTTTTGTGTTATTTGTCTTAAGTTTATGTCACATTGTGACGACACGGCGTGACATTTTTTTTTTTAACATCTTCACTTCCAACAAGGCTGCAAGCAACCACTATAAGAGTTGGAAGTTACTGGAAGAGAAAAGACTAAATCTGTAGAGCAAGATAACGATTGACTGATGACTTAAAAGATTGCAAATTATATGAATCAGGAAAGCAAGATGAAGGAAGCGAATTCCAAAGAACTGATGTTCGAGGAAAAAAACTAGAAGAATAAGAGTTTTTGAAGCACTTAGGAACAGTCACAGAAAAAGGATGAGACTTAATTGAATGGCGAGTAACACGAGAATGAATTTTAGTAGATGGCACAAGGGACGCTAGCTCTTTAGAGCAGTGCCTATTATAGTATTTGTAGAAAAGAGAAAGAGAAGCAACATTACGACGATGTGACAAAGGTTGGAGATTGGCTGCCAGAGCAGGTCCAACTATGTTTACAATTCGTTTTTGCACCTTGTCTAAAAGAGAAAGAGCATCATTAGAAGATCCGCCCCAGATGTGGCAACAGTATTCCATACAGGGACGGATTTGAGATTTATAGAGATAGAGAATAGAATCTGGAGTAAGAAAGTGTCGAGCTCGATAAAGAGATGCAACCTTAGCAGATGCTAATTTTGCAATGGATTTGATATACGGTTTAAAAGAAAGATCAGAAGTAAGAGTTAATCCTAGAAGATGAATGGTAGATGACTCATCTAGTACATTACCATTCATAAATATAGGAAGATCTAAATTATTACGATAACGATTGGCCGAATAAAATTGAGTTTTATCTGAATTAAAGTTCACCAGCCACTGTGAGCCCCATGCTGTAGCAGAAGTGAGATCCTTTTCAAGCTCAGATACCCCCTCCAAGCAATCAGAGAGTGTAGGCTTCTTATCATGACAAGAGTAAATGGTAGTGTCGTCGGCAAATAATGCCACCTTAGATGTGAGAATATCTGGAAGATCGTTAATGTAAATTAAAAAGAGTATAGGGCCAAGGATTGAACCTTGAGGAACCCCTGAAGTTACAGGATGTGAAGAAGAGTGTTGTCCATCGAGGACAACTTTTATACTACGATTGGAAAGAAAGGACTCAATAATCTTAAAGACGTTACCAGCTACACCATAAGAAGAAAGCTTATGGAGAAGACCAGCATGCCAAACTTTATCAAAAGCTTTAGAAATGTCAAGTGCGATAGCCTTAACCTCTCCACCTCTATCTAATGCACGGTAAAACCTATCGGTTATTACTGTTAGCACATCAGCTGTAGAACGAGAAGACCGAAATCCATATTGATGATCAGAAAGTAAGTTATTTGATTCAAGATGAGAGATTAAGTGTTTGTTGATTAAAGATTCAAAAACCTTGCTTATGACAGGAAGAAGACTAATGGGACGGTAGTTAGATGAATCAGATCGCTCTCCGGAATTTTTGAAAATAGGGATAACAGATGCTGCTTTCCAGCATGATGGAAAACAAGACTCTGATAAGCACTTGTTAAATAGTTTAGAAAGTATGGATGAAAGCTCCGGAGAACACCTCTGCAAAACTACAACAGGAATGTTGTCAGGACCACAAGCTGTTGAAGAGTCTAAGCAGGAAATTACTTTAGATACAGAAGCTGAAGTGATGCGAATGTCAAGCAAGGGATCAACCTGTTTGACGGCTATGTCAGGTAAAACGCAACTAGTGGAATCAAGAGATGATATTGATGAAAAGTTCTTAGCAAACAATTCAGCTTTGTCTTTAGGTGAGGTGACAAAGTCTGAACCATACAAGAGAGAAGGAATAACAGATTTGCCCTTATTACTGATACTGTTAAAGATTCTCCAGAAGTCTCGAGAGCCTAATTTTTGTGATGAGATACGAGATTTAATGACCTGGGAATAGCGAGCTTTGGCGTCAGACAAAACCTTTTTACAATGGTTTCTGGCGATAGTGAACAGATGTCTGTTTTCTGGAGAATTGTTTTGCTGATAGATATTTTGCTGATATATATATATATATATATATATATATATATATATATATATATATATATATATATATATATTATATATATATATATTATATATATATATATATATATTATATATATATATATGCGGTAGTGGTATAGTAGTAAGAGCGCTCGCTTTGTAAGCGAGAGGTTCAGAGTTCGACTCCCACCATGTCCCTGGAAGTATCGCGCTCAACTTAATTTCTCCGCGCAGCAGCCTTGCTTGTCAAGGTTCGTGTTTTGGAGTTAAAGAGCTGAGAGAGGGTTGTACCATTAAAAAAATTAGCCTCCTTGACAGTAGTGGCCCCCTCGAGCCTTGGGGAGGTGAATAATTAATATATATATATATATATATATATATATATATATATATATATATATATATATATATATATATATATATATATATATATATATATATATCAGGGTGTTAGCCAGCTTGATGGCACTGCGTATAACATGGAATTGGTTTAAAAATTCTAAAGGTTAAAAAAATCATAGTAAAAAAAAATTTAAAAAAACAACCTTTTATAGGCATAGATATGTGTTTACAGGCTTAGATATGTGTTTACAGGCTTAGATATGTGTTACGCTTAAAATTTTTTTTTTTTAAATATTTCATTGGGAGAAATTTGTTCCACATATAACATGATAGCAGCATGGAAAATAAGGAATTGAAGGCAAGCGGTCAATTCGATCGTCTAACTCAAGAAATTGTTTTTTTTGAAAGATCAAAATTTTAATTTTGTTCTTTGCTTAAGTTTTAAATTTTTTTTTGTATAAATTTTAGTAATAGATCTTCTTGACTAAAATTTGATAGTACAAAAATAAGTTAATGCTTGAAAGGTAACGAAGTCGTATTATTTTAATAATAACAATTTTAAATAAAATCAATGCTTTTTTTAAAAGCGCAAACAGGCAATTGATAATTTTTAATTTGTTTAAAAATAGTTCATTTCATTGCAATAACTACTAATACTAAGAAGACGATTGTTAAATGAAACTATAAAAATTACATAAAACACTGCTATAAAAATTACTTGTATTACATAAAAACACTAAAATAAAAATTACTTGTGTTACACTAAAATTAAAATTACTTGTGTTACATAAAACAAGATTTTTACTAAATCCTATTATTATCCTTTTATTAAAAAAAAAGTGCAAATGCAAAATTAGTATATTTAATTTATATATAAATCATTCATTTATTTGCAATTTTTCAGCAAAACTTACAAGAAAATAAATAAAAAGATTTGGAGAAAAATAAATCAAATTGACTGTGCAGATGAAAGAAAAAATTTTATAGTTAGATACATAATTTATCATATATTATTATATTATATTTAAAATAATATATAAATTTTTTTTTATTAAAATAAGAATAAAATAATAACTTCAATCATTTAAAAAAAAAGGATTTTCACCATAGGTAAAATAAAATTAATTTAAATAAGTGAAGCAAAAAAACTTAATAAATATAGTTTACATAGTGTATAACACATTCGTCAACGAGGCGAATTAATGAGTTCAGTGAAAGCAAAACATAATTATTTAATAAAAGTTTTAACTGCGATAAATTTAATATATACACAAATATATTTTAAGCAGTAGAATTTTTAATATAAAATTATTATTAAATTATTAATTTTTAATTATTAAATTATATTGATAAAAAGTAAATTTAATGGAGAATTTTTAAAACAAAGATAAATACCAGGCAATATTGAAAAATTAAAGGCTTGAAGAAGAAATTCGCATCAACTTTTTTTACTTTAATGACCTGCTAGCAATTAAAGTAACAATTAAAGTAAGTTGTTATAATTGTAATTATAACAATTAAATGATTTTATGAAACTTTAATATGCATTTTTCAAATAACGTCCTGATTATATGTAAAACCTTGCTTTTAAAGCTCGGATATTTTTTTCTAATTAGTCAACCATGACTGACAAGAACTCATTTTGGGAGATCAAAATAGCAGTTTTAGTCATTTTAGGCAGTCATTTTATTAATAAGCTTATCCTTCTACTCCAGAAGGTCAAAAAGTTGTTCCTTGTGAAGGCAAAAAAAAATCCTTGTGAAAGCAAAAAAAATAAAAAAATAAAAATTTTGTGAAAAATCTTTAAAACTTTATTGTAACAAATAAAATATATTCTATAAATATATACAGCCAGAATTTACGGCTGTAAAACAATACATTTGAAAAATATTTTTAATGTATTGTTTTACGGAAGAGATTTGAACACATGCAAAATGACATTGCTGACAGAGCACTAAATCACTGAGCTATCAAAATTTTTTATAAAAAATAGTGATCGGCAAATCAAAACGCTGGCGACCAACATTAGCAAGCTAGTTATGTTCAGTGCTCCTTCTGGCAACCAACCACAAGTCTGAGTGTACACGTGTGTATGTATATACTACAATAGATTTAGGTCACAATAGCACAATATATAAATATATTCTGATGCCTTAAACTATTAAAATGCTCATATTATTCCAGCCAGTTTTTCAGTGAATGACAAAGAAGGATGACAACAATGTAAAGAAAAACTGTTTATCAGAGACATTTTAAGCTAAGCTTGAAATGTCTCTGATAAACAGTTTGTTTGAAACACCACTGATAAACAGTTTGTTTGTGTGTATGTGTGTTTGCATGTGTGTTTGCATGTGTGTTTATAAAATAGTATTAAAAAGCTTACTTGAAGTGATCATAGTTTACATCACCATCATTCACCATTGCCATCACATAAGGATTGTTTTGCTATTAAGTCAACAAATTTGGTTTTATTATTAAATGTATGGTTTTTTGTAATGATTACAATTTAAAACTTAAACATCATTATCAATTACCGTATTAAATTATAACAAACTAATCTTAAATGAAATTAAAACATCTCATTATCATTACTATCACTAAATATTATAAAAAATGCTACTGTAATGTAATATTAAAGAAATTGTATATAAAGCATTACCAAAAATTTAAAATTTAACTTCAGAATTAATCAGTTTATTAATAATAAAATAAGTAATTTATAACGAATGGTTGAGCATTTGAAAATCATAAACAGCATTTGATAGCGCGAAAGATGAATCAGCATGTTTTTTTGTTTTTTTATATTAGATGGATTTTTAAAAACAAACACTATTTTATAAAACGATCTTAAAAACTTATTCAAAATTAAATAAAATCATAAAAATAATTAAGAAAAAAATTATATATCAGAGATAGAACTATTACTTTCTCTTGCTAAATCTGATATTGCAGGGTGTTAGCCAGCCCAATGGTACCTTGTATACTGTGAAATTCTTAATGGGTTTAAAATTCCCAAAATTCAATGACCTTTTGTTTTTTAATAAAGTAATAGGACAAGATTATTAAAAATTCCCAATACTTTGTAGAAAATAACAAATATTCTCAAATATTGCAAAAACTTGGTAAAAAATACATATACTCCTGGCTAACACCTACTCTCATTAATACAGAAAGATCAGAGATTTTGTTCTTTCATTATATAATTCTAAAGAATTATGTGGGTTTGAAAACAGATATTTTTCAAGCTTTTGAAATAAGCTTCATTTCTATAAAATATTACAGGGACTGTATTCATAAGGAGGAATGTAATTTTAGAAAAAAGTACTTTTATGTAAAACACTCTTTATAAAAGTACTTTCATGTTAAAAACTTCTAAGAAGATGGAGTTCTAGAGTAAATCTACGAAACAGATGTTTTAATACTTTTTATAACAACTGCATTTTTTTTTTTATTAGCTAATGACAGCTTTTTATTTGCACAGCAAATATTGCAAATCTCACAAAATGAGATTTTTATTTGAAGTAACTTTTTAATTTTATGAGTAACATTCGTTTACTACTTAAAATAATAATAAAAAATATTCAATAATTATTCTTGTTATTATTAATCTTTAACAAACAATTTTTTTAAAAAATTTGTAACAAGTATTAATAAATAGAAAATAAGAAATATAATTTCTTTGATAAATATATTTCTTTAACAAAATGTTAATGTACCTCTCCATCATTATCAAAGGAATCAAAAAAGAGTCCTAATCCTTTCCATTTATCTGAACTTCCAAAAACTGGACCAGGTAAGCCTGCAGTTTCGGTAAACCAAACAGCCTAAACTCAACAAAATAATAATAAAACAATAAAAGCATAGCAGAACTTAATACTTGCAGAAATTATCTATTCACAATAAAATTTTATCTGTCCATAAGTTTCATATTTGATTTTATTAGGGTCCGGACTGTTGTAATTGTAATTATAAAAATTAAATACAATAACACATTACAATACAATAATATTGTATTGTAATAACAGAGATGTAATTAAAACATTATTTATTGTTATTGTATTGCTGTGATTAAAAACAGTTACAATAACTAATGTATTGTTTTTGTTTTAACAATACATTGAACTTCTAAAACTATTGTAATGCTGTGATGTAAAACAATTACAATAGAATATATATATATATATATATATATATATATATATATATATATATATATATATATATATATATATATATATATATATATATATATATATATATATATATATATATATATATATATATATATATAGGCCTTGTTAAGAAGCGTGGTAAAAAAATTGTGAAATATTTTTATTAGATAAAAAAACAGATATCTATATACATTTTTTTCTATTTTCTGTGTTTAAACAATTTTTAGATTATATTAGATACATTTTAAACTTAATTTTATAGTTACAGTATTAGTAGTTAAAGCTGCATTAACATATTTAAGTTAAAAGCTTTTGATAATATACAACAAATCAATCCAAAAAATTTAAACAAAAATAGTTTTAAAGTTAATTTTTGATGCTAAATATACGTCTAATGTTTTGGAAATTATTTACGTTTGTTGAATTGGCAACCAGTGGCAATGTGTTCCATAAATTTGCAGTTCTGTTTATAGAGAATTTGTGTCTCTGTATAAACTTGATTTGTTCTTTATTGCATTTCTTTTTGTAACCTCTGTATGATTTTGGGAAAGTTTGTTTAAAAGTTCTACTTTTTCGATGTTGTTAAATTAAGTGTTTGTAAACGGTTTTGGTGCCGTAGACTTTTAATGTTCTTGTCATTCTGTGCTGTACTTTTATTAATATTTTAATGTCACCTTTGTTGTTTGGTGACCAAACTGATGCTGCTAATTCAGAGGTCTAACAAAAGTTGTGTATAATTCCTTGAAAAGATGCTGATCTAAATGAACAAAGTCATTTTTTACCATCCCCATCGTTGCATTTGCTTTTTATTAACATGTTACTGTGTGTTTCTTCCATTTCAGTGATGTATCAAAATTTACACCAAGATCACGTTCATTTATTAAATTGTTAATTTCTGATCCATTAACTGTGTAATTGAATTTTATGTTGTTTCTATTGTAATGCATAACCACACATTTACTCTTGTTAAGTTTAATTAACTATTTTTTTGACAACTCTTATTTAAGTCTCTTTGAATTACTTTAGCGTCCTCAATTTACTGCTAATAAGATTTTGGTGTCGCCTGAATATATTTTTGCTTTTGATCATCAGCATCATCTGTATATATTTATGCTTTTGATTTTCTCTGGTACGTAATTGATGTAAACTACAAAAATGAATGGTCCTAGAATGGATCCCTGTTAAACACCACTTAATATGTTGCTCCATGTTGACACTGCATCACCTTAAACCACTCTTTCCATATGCATTTCATTTTAACATAAGTCGCTTGTGTGGCATGGAACCAAATGTCTATGCAAAATCCAGCATTATAACATCCACAGGTATATTTTTTGATAAATTGTGTGTAATAAAATCGAGTCTCTAAAAGATTTATGGTACATAATTTTTGTTTCACACAACAATGTTAGCATTTTGTGATCTGATTACAGTTGTCAAAAAATTTTTGCATTTCATTTTTTATAACTCCTTAAAATATTTTGCATGCTATTGATATTAGACACAGGTCTGAAGTTCCATGCATTTAACTCACATCCTTTTTTGAAAATTGGTGCCACATTTGCAGCACGCCACTGTAGAGGCAGGTTACTTGTGTTAGAATATTTATGTAATTAATAAAAATTTCATTTAAATGAAGTGTATGACTTATTAGTTTATCTGCTACTACTAGCATAGTGTAACTTTTGTTTACAAAGGCGGTGTGAAACTGGTTGTTTAAAATATCTGCGACCTCATTTTGGTTATTTGTTACAATACCATTAGTGTTCAAAATGGCTTTAATTGATTGCTTTGTATTCCTCTGACTGTTTACATATTTATAAAGAAATTTCGAATTTGATTTTAATATCAGGTTTCTTTCATAGCCTTTTCTGGCTAATATGATTTCTTTTGATACTAATTTTGTTATTGTTTTGTATACATTGATCTTTTCTGCATCTTTCCATTTGGCTGTTAAATTTATAAATCTAAGATCTTTTTTCATTTTTACTAATGCTCTAAGATTATCACTAAATCATGCATTTCTCTTGTGTTTGTGTTTTGTATTAACAATAATTTTTGGTATATATAAATTACTCAGATAGTTTATGTTTAATATAAAAGTATTGTACATTTGTTGCGTTGTTGATTCATGAAAACAGAAGTTCCAGTCAATTAAGTTAACTTTTTTTTTTATTTTTGTGTAGTCTCCTCTGGTGTAGTCAATTTTGGTGTTCTACTACTCTATTTAATGTTTAGTTCAAGTTTGTGTCAATATTATGTCAAGTTAGTGTCAATATTAAGTGCCCCTTGTTTGTACAATTGAGGACTTCATGTGATTGTAGCTCATATATTCTGTTAGTTTATTTGTTGTTTTTTTATTATTTACCTCCCCAAGGCTCCAAAGGCCATTACAGTCGAGGAGGCTACTTTAGTGGTTACAACCCTCTCATAACTCCATAATTCAGAAACACGAACCTCGACAAACTGCTGCTGCACGAGAAAAACCTTGACGAAAGGCTGCTGCACAGAGAAACAAGAGAAACTGTTACTATTGTTGGTAAATATCAAGTCCAGTGTGTTTTTTAAAAAAAATTGTTTAATTTCATTTATAATAAGTTGATGATTTCTAAGGATGTCATCACTCACACAGAAGTCTGGTCAAACAAATGATACCATTTTAAATATAATATAAATAGTAGGCATTGTGACATGATCCTTGAATGAACTGTAAATAAATTTAGAAAAGTAGAAACTTCAAACACCTTTATCCACTTTTCACTTTTTTGTTCAAGATCAAACAATTTCAAAAAAAATCTATAAAAATCCTTTATAGAAGAAGACCATCATTAAAAAAATCAGCATAATTATGATAACAGTAATCTATACAAAGGTAAGTGAGAGATTTTTAGAGGTAGAGAATAAAATCAGGAGTAAGAAAATAACAAGCATGATAAAGAGAAACAAATTTAATAGGCACTTACTTAAAATAGGTGCTTACTAACACTAAACACTGATAAAACAGCTGAATTAGTCTCATAAATTAATCAAACTCTCACAAAGAGCAAGTAAGTCTGGTGAATTTTGCAAGAGAAAAGATTCAAGTAATAGAAAATTACTTCGAAGGCCACAAATATTTGTAAAAGATTGAAAGTTAGGTGATGGTGATCATTTTTTATGTTAAACATTTTTAGGTCATATTTAAGCTAAAGAGAAACTGACTCAATCATTGATAGAACATGGCACCCCAAGCTAAGAGCTATGTTACACCATTATATATAAAGCTATTACTTCTACCTTTATCTTTTTCTCCTGAAGCTGCTACCTCTCTACACGCTCATACCCGAATTATCTGCATCCTTATTGCTTAACTAACCAACCACCAGGCTTGGTCAGGAAGCGGGAGCGATCGCTCTCAAATACTGACCACGGAAATTATATTTAGTTGCGAAAAACTGGCCAGGTTTTTTAGTCGTTTTGAGAACATTTAAGTTTATGTACGAAACAAAAAATTTTTGTTTTACGGACATACATGGAAACATAATAAACTTGAATGTTCTCAAAACATCTTTGTGCGAAAGAATAACTAAAACCCCTCCAAATTAACGAAGAAACCAATTCTAATGGTTCAAAAAATACGCAGACTTAGCAAAATAAAGTTCTAGAGTATTCTGTTGAAATGCTTTAGGAATTGTATTACTCACGATTTGTTACGTTTTGAGATTTCTAGTTTTCTTGTTTTAAAGATATATATTACTTGTTTACAAAAATAAATATTTTAAATATATATTAAATTGTCAAAATTTCAAAAGTTTATAATAAACTATAGATTTTATTAGTATATTCTTATTTTTTATTTAAAAAGTATGTAATCTTTATGTAAATGTAATTTTGTGTATCTGTTTTTTATCGTAATGTATCTTTTAAAACAATTTTTATGATTTAAGCAAAGACTTACAAAAATAATTGCGTTTTCAATGAAGTTATAATCGTTATAGTTAATACAACTAATTATGTAACAAACATATAAGAAGTTTCTGGTTACTAAACACAAACAACGCATACAAAGTATCTCGCGGATGAACAAGCACCGCGCCTGAGGTTACGACAGAACACAAATATATATAGCAAATAATTAGATATAAAGAAAAGTTTCTATATATTGGTTTACTAACTCTAATTGTTTTCGCTTAAGTTGCCATTCTTGAAACTCGTTATACTTTTTTCTGTTTTAAATACTAATTAAAATTAAAAAGCCCACTCACTAAACATCATCAGCGATATTGTGAAGCAGTTTCACTTCCTCGTCATAAAGTATTTTTAACTTTTTTAGTTGATTTCTATCTTGTTAACTTAATTTCTATAGTAATTCAATGATTTAATTATTTCATTTGTTTATCTTACTAAGAAGAATTGCTTCAAATATGTTAAACTTTTCAAACTACGCGAAACATAAAATAGGTATTGAAAAAATTAACTTTTTTATTTCTAAAATAATTTAGCTTAAATAAAACTAAAACTTGCAAACTTTGCTAAATAAAGAGCATTTGTTTCTTTTTTAAACAATCGTAAGTTGTTACTTTATATAAAAAACATCGCTTAATTTTTTAAAAAAAAATTATAAAAGAGCGATGTTTCAAAAATATTTGTTTTAAATATAATTTATTTAGCTTTAAGTTTTTTCACGTTTAAAGATATTTTATTTGCCTAATTTTTTTTTTTTTTTTTTTTATGTAGTTGTTTCTTATCGGTCCAATTAATCTTTTTAGGCTTTTTTTTTTTTGCTTCTTAAAATGTTCTCAAAACGACTAAAAAATCTGGCCAGCTTTTCACAACTAAACTTTTGCAAAAAAAAAAACAATATTTGCTGTAAAACGTAAAAAAAAAAAAAAAAAGTTTGATACAAAGGGGTTACCATAAAACATAAAATTGAGGTCGGCAATTTTTTGCCGACCTCAAACACTTTAAGATCGGCAGTTAGGTTGACCCTAATTCCAAGGGTTGATATATATATATATATATATATATATATATATATATATATATATATATATATATATATATAAAGGGTGTTAACTAGGAATAAATTTGATACAGGGTTCTAACGAAATTGAAAATTTGTCAAAAAATATCTGAAAATTTCACCCTCCCCTGAGATTAAAATGTGTACCGGGAATATGTGGGGTCCTTTTCTTATATTCTTTCCTATTCTACTCCACTTTAGTACTGCATACATTGATTGGATAGCGCCAAAAATAAATTTAAGTACTGTCTGTAACATTTATTAAAGATGAATATAAAATCAAAAGAAAATAAAATGTTTCACAACGACAGGGCAAATTAGGCTCCGATTTCCAAAGATATATTTAGAATTATATATTTTTATGTTATAAAATGGTCAGTGTGTATTAATTAATTGCTAGCTAAGATCAGACCCAAAAAAATATGGGTCTTTGTAAGTCTATTCCAAAAAAACTTTTTTATACTTTTTCCTCATATATCCTAGCTTTCCGTATCCGTAAAATACAGGTCTTTACCAAACCTACCATTTCTATACATACCTATTCCATACCAATTATTTCTATACCTATTCCTTATTTACTTGAATACTTTTTAGTAAAATAATTTTGTTCTAAAAAAAAATTAACATGCACACCTTTTCCGCATAGCTTATAAGGGAACTAGGTTTGTTTTTCTGCTAAATGCATTTCTATGATAGCTCAATAGTTAAGTGCGCTACCATCAGTGTTGTTTTGGAGGGTTTAAGACCTCCTCTTTGCGTAATAAATTTTAAAATTTTTTAAACCTTGTATATATATTTATAGCAAAATAATAATAATTTAGCAAAATAATAATAATTTAGCAAAAAAGATTTCTAAAATTTGAAATAAAATTTTGAAGTTTTTTCATTTTATAGATGTATTATACACGATTATTCTAAAGCACCACGGAAGTGCATTGAACGAAGAAGTTCACGACTCCTTCCTTATCGTGACGCGAAATATGTCTAAAGCTTGTTTCAAACCTGGATCTCTGGCTTATAAAGCAAGCGCTCTAACCACTGCCGTGGCCAAGTGGTTAATTTTATTTAAAATTTTTTTACAACAATATTATTTGGATTTTTTTACAACAATTTTTAATGCGGTTTTAAATTTAATTACAATGAAGTGTTTTAAAATACGCAACTGACATAATTAAACTTTTAACCATGAAAACATCTTTATTGAATAAAGTTACATTGCGCTTCATCATCACGTTTGCATCACTTTGCGCTTTTCTGTTACGCAACAAAATCTCATAACAAAGCCTGATATATATTATATATATATATATATATATATATATATATATATATATATATATATATATATATATTTATATAGGGATAGTTAAGCACGACAAAGTTTATAAAAAAAAAGTTTATATTATAATTAAATAAATGTCAGAGCACTTAAGTTTTTAAGTGCACTGAACTGCAATTACTTTTAATTTTTTTGGTTTAGTGGCTTTTGTTGAGAGCTTTTAAATTTTGCGTCAAATTATCTCATTTCAACATAATTAAAGGTAAAAAAAAATCAAATTTGACTGTTTTAGAAAATAAGGTAGTTTAGGTGTTTACAAACGTTATTGAATACATATTTTTTATGTCAAAGTTCTGGAAAAATTTATAAAAATTGTTCGTTTCAAAAAACATTTTACAGAGTTGCTCCTAACAATCTTTTTTTAATTGCATTTTTCTTGAAATATGTAATAAGCATATTAGGGCATTTTAAAAATCAATTGCAGCATATATTTATAGTAAAAAAGTAAATGTAGCAAAATAAACTTTTAATTGTCAAAAAAAAATTTATAGCTATATAAAAAGTATTATCTAGCTATGGGCTTTTTTTTTTTTTTGCCTTTACAGCAGCACTTTCTTGAGTAGCAGGACTTTCTTATTAAGATTTTTCTTTATTAAGTTTCAGAGAACTTTTTTTTTAGACCATTCGCAGCTTATTAAGACTAATTACCTGAGCACATTAATAACATAAGTATCTCAATCATGACACATATGCAACAAACATTTTCTCCTGGTGATGTTTTTTGATGTTTTATGAAATTTTAGCTTTCTTTAAATCTTTTCATTTGTAAAAGTGTATAATATCATAACATATGTTTGTATATAATCTCCATAAAACTTTCAAGCGTTTTGTATTTTAAATAAATCCAAAAAAAAAAAAATTTTAACGGAAAAAAATGTTATAGATCAAAATTAAGGAGAGCTTGACGCAATGCAATTTTCAAGTGAAAACTGTAAAATTTTATAAATGTATAAGTATGTTTTAACATATGTTTTAACATTACTTAATTTAAAGTTTACATACGTTAGATATTTGCATACATGTTCGTTCAGGTTTTTTTATAAAACAAAGTGCTTTGACTTTTTTTCGCCACTCCCTATGTTGCAATGGCTGCCAAGGGTTCCGTGTCAAACAGGCTTGAAAGCGCACTATTAAGTTCAGTAATAATAATTAGAGTATTAAGAATAATATATTTGATTTACTTCTAACCTTTATATATCATTGCCACTTTCATGTTAAGAGTATTCTTTTGAATATATATATATATTTTTTTTCACTATTAGGCATTAAAGAGCGATTTAAGTAATATAGGGATTTATATTCAATGAAAACTTCCGCGGAAGAAAGCTAATTATCTTCTACTTCTAATTATTATTTAAATTCTGTTTGACATCCTTTATGGACGAGCCCTTACACCATCATGTAATAAATTTTTTCATCAAAAAAATGTTTTAAAAATAGAAAAAAAAAATTTTTTGAAAATAGTAAATGCAAGCACCTATATTTCATATTTCACATTTATTGCAAGTTCAATTTTATAATTAATATTAACTTTTTTGATACATAAATCGCATAGCAAAATAAAGTTACAATTACAAAAAGTTATTTGCAAATATTGAGTAATGAATTTTTTTTCTGAGTGATTATAGGGATTTTTGAAAAACTTCAATTATGAAAAAAGTTTTTTTCCTAGAGATATTTTTGCAGTTAGACAAGTGGTTAGTTATACCAATAGCGGCTATTTTATTTCAAGTTTTAAAAAATAAATATTATTTTTGTATTAGTTTTTAATAGTAATTAAATTGGGAATTGCATATATATATATATATATATGTATATATATATATATATATATATATATATATATATATATATATATATATATATATATATATATATATATATATATATATATATATATATATATATATTCCAGGATATGAGAAATAGTAAATATATGCATAAATTTATAATATATAATTTTTCCTTGCCCCAGCTATCAACCCTGCTAAATCTTATAACTTTACCAGGGCTGTAAAGGACTCCATTTTTAGCTAGGACCAGGTCAAGGTCTACTAACTTACTAGTCTGAATTTACTAGTCTACAATAATAACTAAGATGAGATGAAAATAACCCACAGTGAATATTTGTAAGGGTAACTTTATCAACAAAATAATTGAAAACATACCAATAGTTTAAGTTATATTTTCTTGCATAGCTCATCAATGTGACTAAATAAAATATGACAAATAACTTGATCTAAAATTGAAAACTGTCTTCCTGATGTAAAGCTGCTTCTCTTTCTATTATAACATGTATAAACATCCTTTCAAGAGTATAATTTAAGCAGTTTAGGTAAATGAAATACAGAATTTTCTAAATTCAAAGGAAATCTAATTTTACTAGAAAACTTAAAAACATGTGTAAAGTATTTAATAGTTGTTAACTAATATTTGTAACTGCAAATTAAGTCAAAACCCTAGCGTAAAACTTTCTACGTTTACTTTTAAAATAATAATATCACCTGACAACAAAATGTTTTACCAGCATTAGCACTTTGTTGTATACAACTGGTTGAACTGTTTTTTTTTTTTTATAGTTTTACAACATAATTTAAGGAAGCATAACATTTTGATAACATTTTATCATAATGACACTTACTAATCCATCACCGCCTACTCTTCCACGACCAGAAATTTTAAAATACACTTCGACTTCCCAAAACTCAGTAGAGCTGATTGTTTTTGTCCACAAGCCACCTCTCTGATCCTTTAATGAAGGGGTAATTCTAATCTGCTCGTCACTAGGAATTGCACCTAAAATTTTTTTAAAAAATTTTAATATTACGCTTGTTTATAAAAAACTTTTAAAAACATTTAACTTATATTTATTTCTGAAAATATACACATTCTCAAAAAGTTTGAAAACTCAGGTATGTTTTCAAGTTAATTTGATGAATAGAAAATAATATAAAATTTATCTACAGTTCTTAAAAAGCACTTTAGTTCTGTTTTAGAACTACTTTTTTAGAATGCTAAAACTATGTTTAACATTTTTGATTTAATAACATTGGTAGCACTTTTGTAGCACTTACCACTGAATGGTCTGGGAATGAAGCACCTCTATATGCATTCCTCTCAATTGTTCTAAAGTTGTAGAAAGAACTCAGAAACACATAACAACATTGGCATGTTGCAGTATCTGCAACACATTTTTGTTGTAGATAACGCAGCAAAGACATTAATGCTACCAAAAAATAATTACATTTTTAAGAATTTCAAGAACAAGGATTATTTTAAACAAAACTTTCACCCAATAAATTTCAGGATATTTCAAGGATTTATAACTAATTTCAATGAACTTTGAAATTAGCTTTAAATCCTATGAATTTAAACAAAAGCATCACATGTTAATAAATATTTTGTGGTTTAAACATTAAAGAACCTATAAAGTTATTATATAAAATCTCATTTTCTATCTATAAGTCTTTTTTTGTACATGGCCTATCAGCACTAATGTTTCAAAAGATGAAAAAACTTGTCCTTAAAAGAATAACTTTAAATTCTTAGATATTTAGACTATTCTATAAAATTGATAAAAATTAAAACTTTTCATAACTTTTAATGGGATCCCAAACCTCTGCAACATGTTGTGTTCATATTAAAGAAAATAACTTTAATATGAACACAACATGTTGCAAAAAAAACAAAAAAACATTTCGGTTAAATTTAGAAAAAATTAACTTTTTTTATGATAGTTAAAGCTTGCATTCTTAGTTTTGTTGTAGGCCAAAAAGTCTTCATAATATATGCCTTAATCTATAGACTTGATTTTCTTGTTTGTTTAAAAAATCAATTAAGTAAGCAAATAAAATCAATGAGGTCATGTACTAAAACTCTTAGTAATAAAACGAGCTTGAATAAACTATCAAGTCTCTAGATTGCAGTGTCTATTATAAAAACTTTTTGGCCTACAACAAAACCGAGAAAAAGAGCTTCGTCTGAAATAAAAAAGTTTTTCTTGGTATGCATTTATAACTTTGTTTTGATTAAAAAAAATTAAGTTCTAATATATTTATTTTATCATTTTCTTTAACATGAACCCAACATGTTGCAGAGGATTGGGATCCCTTTAAGGATATCTTTTGAAATTCAAGACATTTTAGGATCAATCCTAAATGACAACTCTGCTCATTATGGCGCACCTGATTTTTTGCTGAAAATTCATTTGTTTGTGTTCCATTTCTTTGCTGCTATTATTACAAAAAATAATATGGAAGAGAATTTACCACACAAGTAAAATTTTTAGCGATGTTTGATCATGTTATTATAAAATGCAATCCCCTAAATTTATCAACATTTGTGTTAACACAAAACAGGGCTCAATTTAACGAACGGACATTGTTTCGCTAAAACCTCAGATTGTCTGATCAATTTACAAAGTAATTGGACATTTTGACCGATGGAAATTGAATTTTACAAAATAATTACTTTATTATGTTTATATATGGGCTTGGACAGGAATGGGGTGCTATTGAACACTATTGCAGACCATGCAAATGATTTTTTTTGTTTACAATAAAAAAATTTCACGATTTAAACATTTCAGAAATGTGCTGAAAAAAGAAACATTAAAGGGACTACCAAGTCCCGAGACATGTTGTGTTCATATTAAAGAGAATGTTAAAAAAAAACGTCTGAGCAAATTTTTTTTTGATTAAAACTAATTAATAAATGTATACCAAGAAAAACAATTCTTGTTGTTTTAGTCGAAGCTTGTCTTCTCCGTTTTCTCTGGTATTTTGAGTATGTAAAATTAACGCAATTTTCCAGGCGCATTATACAGACTTGATAATTTATTCAAGCGCGTTTAATTCATAGGAGTTTTAAAGCATGATGTCATTGGAAGCATTCTAGAAATTCTTTAAAAATTTTACTATTAAATTTTACTTAAATAGCTAACTATAGTTACTTATTTTATTAAAAGTATATTTTAATAATTGTTCGTTAGTTTTTTACAAATCTAACGAACAATTAATTAAACCAAGCACTAAGAAAAGATATAAAAATTAAGAATATACTAATAAAATAATTAACTTTCAAAATTTTGACAATTTAAAAAATATATATTATAAAACATTTATTTTTGTAAACAAATGATAATAGTTTAAAAGTTTTACGGCTTTACAGATGTGGCTCCGAGAATGAGCCATAATATTTAAGTAATAGTTCATTTGATAATATATTCTTAAAAAAAATTTATGCTAGATATCTCAAAACGCAACAAATCGTAAATAATACAATTCCTAAAACATTTCAACAGAATACTATAGAGCTTTATTTCGCTTAGTCAGCGTATTTTTTTAACAAATAGAATTAGTTTGTTCGCAAATTTGGCGGGTTTTTAGTGTTCACGAATATTCTTTTTATTCTTCCGCAAGATGTTTTAAGAACATTCAAGTTAATTATGTTTCCATGTATGTCTGTAATTAATATATAATTAATAAAAATTAATATATATTAATTTTTTAATTTTTAGGCCCCCACCATAATATATATTGGATGTTATAATGGAAATATAAATAATGATATAAGATCACCTCAATACCAAAAAATACATTTTTGAAAATCAGAGAAAAAATGCGTTGATAATTTTTTTTTTTTAATATTTACAAAGTAAATTAATAAAAGTGCATTATTAATTAGGTTAAAAATTATTTTATCAAATATTTTGAAAGAAAAACTTATAAGAAAAAAACAAAATACACATGGTCTAGACGATTATTTAAAAAAAGTTGCGCAAATAAAATACTGTTTTGCTTTTTATTTTATTTTTGTTTTTAATTTAATTTTTTTTTTAATTTTATTTTGTTTTTAATTTTATTTTACAAACACATTTTAGATCTTTAAAATATAATAAAAATGAATATGATTTAGAAATTGTATGTAAAAAATAACAATCGGTGTTTTAAACAAACAAAAGAAATCTATGACAAGGGTTGAATTAACGCATCGCGATTTGCGATATCTGTTAAATTATCTGGTCTTCAAAGTTTCAGTTTATGGAAAACCACGAAATTTACGGAATAGGCGAATAAACTTCAATTTGTTAGTGAAAATGTTATGAAAAACAAAACAATAAATTTATGACTACAAAAGTAAAAACACTACAGTGTTGTTACTTTTATAACACTCTTTTAAGTTACATTTATAGTTTATTGTTTGATCAAACAACACATAATCAAGATATTATAAATAAAAATGATTGAGTTAAGTAATTCCAAACTTTAATTAAAGTAGTAATGCATCTAAAAAAAATACAATGGATATTTAAACAATGTTAAAAACCTCAGCAACTTTTACGAATACATATTTTTATAAACAGTTTAGCATTTCTAAACATCTTACTAACGGTCCGGAAAAAACGCGCGTTCACTTTAAAGTCAACCAATAAAAACACTGGTAATTTACTTCTTAAGAGAAGTCTATATTAAAAGGGGAGGGGGGAGGCTAAAAACTTAAATTTTGTTTTATTATTTAATCAATTAAATCATAATAAAAGTAAAGACAAAAAAATATATTTCTAAATATACTTCTTTATAACTAAAATTTATTAAATTGAACGCCTCTGTTTTTAGTTTTAAGGAAATGTCAGTACTATCGTGCGGGGGGGGGGGGGGGGGGGGGGGGGGGGGGGGGGGATTTTGCTACTGACTACTCTAATGTGCTTAATACAATATGCTTATATGTGCTTATATGTGCTAATGTGCTTATATGTGCTAATAATGTGCTTAAAAAGGTAGGTGGGGGTGGGAATTTTAGTCAGGATGTATGTAAATGGGAAGAGGAAATAATGAAAAAAAGCGGGAGGATTTACAATAAAAGTTTTATTATTTATCGGTTACCAATATATATTTTTTTTAATTTTAAGGCCAATTTTCACTGAATTTTTGTTTTGAGATATAGTTTTTTGTTTATAACAAGTGTCTTGTTATAAACAAATGACACAATTTTCAAAATGAGCCCCATATCGCCCATGCAACCTAAAATTAGTTTAAAAATAGGACACTTTTTGTCTGTTAACCCCCCCCCCCCCCGCAGTTTCGCCACTGAGAGTAGTACTGACATTTCCTTAAAACTAAAAACAGAGGTGTTCAATTTAATAAATTTTAGTTATAAAGAAGTATATTTAGAAATATATTTTTTTGTCTTTACTTTTATTATGATTTAATTGATTAAATAATAAAACAAAATTTAAGTTTTTAGCCTCCCCCCTCCCCTTTTAATATAGACTTCTCTTAAGAAGTAAATTACCAGTGTTTTTATTGGTTGACTTTAAAGTGAACGCGCGTTTTTTCCGGACCGTTAGTAAGATGTTTAGAAATGCTAAACTGTTTATAAAAATATGTATTCGTAAAAGTTGCTGAGGTATTTAACATGGTTTTAATATCCATTGTATTTTTTTTTAATGCATTACTACTTTAATTAAAGTTTGGAATTACTTAACTCAATCATTTTTATTTATAATATCTTGATTATGTGTTGTTTGATCAAACAATAAACTATAAATGTAACTTAAAAGAGTGTTATAAAAGTAACAACACTGTAGTGTTATTACTTTTGTAGTCATAAATTTATTGTTTTGTTTTTCATAACATTTTCACTAACAAATTAAAGTTTATTCGCCTATTCCGTAAATTTCGTGGTTTTCCATAAACTGAAACTTTTAAGAACAGATAATTTAACAGATATCGCAAATCGCGATGCGTTAATTCAACCCTTGTATGACGTCAAGCACTAAAACTCCTATGAATTAA